GTTAACCAAGTTATATGTTGTTTACTTATCACAATGACTGATGAGGGTGTGACCTGAGGGCTTGAGACGTGTACGGGGAGGGGGTAGTGGCCACATGGAGGTGGGGCATGGCGAAGACATGGTGACCGCAACAACTGACATGCCGCATACCTCTCTCTCTCTCTGTTTGTGCATCCCCTCCTTTGGGTCTGAATTAAACATGGTGCATCGATGTCACGCTCTCTCTACTCTTTATCCTTCCCTCTTTCTTAATCTCACCAAGGACACAGATGGCATTTAGAGTGGAGGGATAACTTGGTGGTTGACACTGAACAACTCGTGCCGTGTGGTGAAATTTGTTAGTGGAGGAAAAATGAAGAGATACAGATTGAGAGCAAGTCAACATTTCACACCAATATTTCCCTCACATATATATTAAGAATACAGTATAATTACTAATGTATTCGTAATCAGGTTGCTAGTAGGGATGCACGTGGACCATGTCGGCGTTTGCATGTCCACGACCTTCCACAAAAAAAACTAACACCGTCATTATAGTAAATAAAGATTAGCGTAAATATTTGCTTCATGGACAGGTGTGGGCATGCTGCTTTAAGAATCGTGTTAGTGAAATTTTTACTTCGTGCACGGTCGTGGACATGCGTACGCCGTCCGCTTGCACACCTAGTTGCTGGACATTAACATTTAAAATATTACATCGCCGACGATGTTGTTGGTGGAATTCAAAAGTAGGCATGTTGTCTTTGAAAAAAAAATCAATGCGAGTGCATGTATAGCAACTTCTACTGGATGCCAAAATACAATATCTATAGCAACAACGGTACCAAATCCCCAATCCCACCGGGAGCTCCTCTTTCTTCCTCGTGTTATTTCACCACCCAGCGCCACCCTTTCTTTTCTCCAACCATCGCCCATGGTAAGGTCGAAGCTACCTCCCGGTGCTCCCTACACCTCCACTCCATCTACTCGTGCTTTGTGTGTCACATGCTCCTCAACAGAACCTCAACCGTGGCACCCAGACCTAGCACAAAAGCATGGCCGTCTGTCAGATTTGGCACGGATGCGCGGTAGCTCCTCTCTCCCCTGATCTTCCCTGTGAGATCTAGCGACCCCCTATGACTTCCTCTCCCACGCGGCACCGCCTCACTGATGACCTTGCTGGCAATGTGAGTGACAGTACCACTTCTCTTCTGTTCTCCTGCTAGTTAGCAAACTGAACCAAACCAGTTTTTTAGTCATCTGAAACTGAACCAAAACATTTAACTCTAGTTGGTTTCGGTCATCCAGCAGGAAACAGACAAACCTACAGGTGGTCTGCTCATCACGCTTTGGAACAGAACTATAGCTTTTTGAAAATATGTGCTTCATTATATGGTGGAATAGAATTTTATGAAATCAGATGCAAGGATTTATAGCTGGGTGTAGCACAAAGAACGGGGGTTGTTAACTTAAAGTATGACATCTAAACAAATGATGCAGTAGAACATATATGATTACCTATGTAGGTTTCAGTTTAAAGAGGCTGATGCTCCAGTTACTCATTTTGATTGAAGATCAAGCTCAGTGTTCTCTTTCTAGTATTGACACTTGGAACTAAAAGTCTAAAATACACATTTTTGTCAATGAGTTTCCACACCAAAACTGAATACAATTTAACTGGTCAATTAGCCTTATGGAATCTTGATCTTAAGCTAAAAATTGAGAATCTACAAATGTGACAGTCAGATTCTCCCATGCTTGTTAAATTTCAACGTGTAAGTTAAGTATCAAATACTTGAACTTTTTTAGAGAAGACATATCAGGTACTAACCATCAGTTTTATCCTTACTTAGATATCAAACGAACCTAAGCATGTGCTCGAAAGATAGCTCTTCAAAAAAAACTTCTTCTTACAATGAATATGGCTACAACCTGAATATGTGCATAGGTAGCACCATCATCAATAATGTACATAAGTAAAAAGGAAGGATGCAAACCTCTTAGAATTATTTACATCAGTGAAGCCAAATCTTATCTTCTGCTGGGACATTTAGAAGGAAAAGATAATTCTTGAGGTTGATAGGATCAAATTTGCATGTCACGGTGTCTTTCTAGCTTCAGGGAGAGAACTAATAAGTAAAAGGAAAGAAGGCGCATGATAATTTAAAATAGAGCAAATTAAGCATGCCATCCCCACCAAGCCACTTCTTTGCTCAGCACTTCGTTGTCACATCCCAGATGGATCTACCTTGTTTCTGGAGGAAAACAATGTCCACTTGGATTAATATATTTCTGTTGTCACGCACAAGCCTATAGTACTGAACCAACTCTCTCTCGAACCAATCTATAATGTAACACCCTACATTTGATTGGCTAACACATCAGATGGTTCTTTAAAATTCTCTTCTAGAATTATTATGGTGGCTCTAATAGTGCCTCTCATACAAAAAAACGGTGCAATCTGCGGATACACCAAGAAAATAAAAAAGTAAAAACAAAGAGTTCTTTCACTGAAATCATCAACCGCCAGTTAATTAGTTCAGACTTCAGCCGCTGTATTCGTGTCGTACTGTAGGTGTGTCCTATTTAGTTTTATAGTTTTATCCTTACCTAGGTTATTAAATAATCTCCATGGAGGTATGTTGATCCTTTTGGTTGTGAGGGCACATCCATCATGATGAAGATGAACCATATCAATGAACCAAAGAAAACCTAGCTGCGTGTGTCTAGTGACTAAGCAACTAAAGGAGGGACGTAGGAAGTGCCAATCTTAATTGCGACAGATTAAGGACTTGGGAGCAGAGGAGGAGGAATCTCCATGGCCGCTTCGTCCCCGAGCAGCAGCAAGGTGTCCACTGGTCGTTCCTCCCTGCACATCTATAGGAGAAGAGAAGAGCAGAGGTTAGAGAAAAGGGGAGATAGAGAGGACGAAGCCAAGGGAGGGGATCCACTTGCCGGACGAGAGGAGGACGGCATGGCCATGGGTGAGGACAAGATGCCCGAAACCCTAGCCATGGGGGGAGGGTCGCTGGTGGGCTTTGGTGGCCTTGAGTGCTGGATATAGCTGGATGGGAGGGTGCCGCGGTGCGAGGGGAGCTCGGGCTGTGTTTCGCGATGGCGGGATTCGCCGGACATCGCCTGAATCATCCGCCGTAGGTGGCGCCACGAGGAGCCGCGTGAAGAGTGAGAGATGGGACAGGAGAGGGATGGGTGGGTACGGGATGCCGCGGATCCGGCAGCCTCCGGAGCTGCGAGGTGGGAGAAGAGGAGGGGGAGGGCCAGCGGCGAGATGGGTCTCAGAAGGAAGGGGATGCGGTGGGTGGCGACGAGGGCGCCGCCCCTCGTGCTCCGCCGTTGCTAGAAAGGGTAAGTCTGCATAAGATGAAACAGAGGATTGTGGGCTGAATTTCTTATAGTATACGCAGGTAAAATAGTACCACCTCGGATATATGTGAAAAAAAACTGAAAGCGTAAAATCACGGAAAGAAAGCGCATTATGACGGTGAACCCGGAGACTCAATCCGTGCTTTATTATTATTATTATTAGGGATATATATATATATATATATATATATATATATATATATATATATATATATATATGGTGATACTATTCATCACCCAGGGTGCAGAATAAGTTATTCTTCACCCGAGGTAATCTTACGACCATTTTATAATTAAATTACGTTTGGATTTTAAATAGTTACATTCTTCACTACGTAAAATTTTGCATAAGAAACAAAATATAGGTCATAAGACAAGAAAAATTGCAGTTTATGTGTATTTTACACTATATTTTTATGTTTGTAATTTTACATAACATAAAATATTTTTTATGGCTATTACATATTTTCTTACGATCTCTCTTTACGTCGGAAATAAGACAAAATTTACGGAACGTAAAATTACGGTGTATTGATGTCAAAATAGAGAGAGGGTGAAGAATAACTATTCCCCATCCAGGGTGACGAATAGCGCGACCCTATATATATAGGTTTCTGATCAGCTGCGTCAACGACGTTTCACATTGAGCTTTTTCCCTTTCTTGTTCGTTGCCGAGTAATTGAGCCCCTCCTTGTGACTTTTCCGGAGCCATGGAGTATGATCTTTCTTAAATAATGTAGTATTGATTCTTCTTTTCACGTATGCTTCATCGTCATTGCTATCTGCCCTCATCGGGTTGCCGTATTGGTCGTAGTCTTCCTCGTTGGCGAGTCCATCCATTCCGAAGATGTTCCTTTTGGATATCCTCACGACAACGCGGCTGGGAT